CAGAAGCGGTGGGCATTCGCCTGCACAACCCCCGTCTGTGTGCCCAAATCAACCTGTGCACGCGCTAAAGCTCCCCTGGCCTACCCCCCGAACACACATACCGTATCACATGCGATCTCGATAATCAGATGAGTGAACAAACAACTATATTTGATCGTGGTGATATCGATTTCCGGTCTCATGACGTATTCGTTTCTAGTGCAATCTGTGATTCTATTTCATTTCATTTTCCCAAGATTATTTTAATCCTAAATAGTGATATATATACATATATACTGAGATGTATTGGCATGAATATGAATCTGTGAAAACGAGCTTGTTTTGTTTAAAACGTATAAGTAAGCTCACGTAGTGGGCTTTTGTATGTATGTATGTACTAGAGAAAAAGTAAACGATCGTGAAAAGAGTCAGTTGAGGCCGTTCTGTTATTGTGAAGACTATACTTAGACTGATATTGGTTCGTCCGACGTTGGGATATTGAATGCGGTAAAATATTTTACCAGTTACGATATGGGTACATTTACCAGCCAACTGTGTCCAACGATAATTGATTGCAGTGCGAAAAAAATAGAGAGAGAGAGAGAGATTTGCTACGGTGATTCTCGGTTCGCACGCACTGTCTAAGCCCACTGGAGAAATCGAGTGGTGCTCACTCACCATAAATGCCTGTAGAAATGCAAGGAAACGCGATACTTTTCAGCGAATGTTCCGTGCACAATTCCAGTGCATGCTGGTACGTGGATTGAAGTGCTTTGGGTTTCTCGCCAACCGGTCCAACACAATGTATGATGTCTGCGTCCAAAGAATGTGTTGTTACACGTCCGGTGGGGAATTCGGAATGGATGGAAAATGATGAAAAAGGTCAACTGCATGAAATTGACTCCACTTTAAAGAATTTAGCATGAATACGAGCTATCGTGTGAACAGATATCCTAGCGAACATTGAAGGAATCAAGTACAGATGAATCAAGCCAGGTACGGCACACAAACGGTGCCAAATCCGAAAACTTCCAGTTACTCGATTTGGGGTCCCCGGAGAAGACAACATTCAAATAAGTGATTTTTTAGCCGTTGTACAAACCACATTCACAGACGAACACCACCTAGGACTTCTCGTGCCGTACAGAGAGCCAGAAATTCAAGTAGCTTTATGACAAGCGTGACGCCAGAGATCACCTCAGTTCAGTTCAATTTGAACATCTATTAATCGTGCACTTCCGTGCGGCGGTTTTGGTTGCTGCCTAGTGGCAACCCATATGGATGATGGAAGACTAGAATGTTGAAAGCAGCGTGACGGTAGAAATAGAGAGGCTGAAAGGACAATCAGTAGATGCAAATCATTATTTACGACATCATCATCATCGTACAGCGTAATACAGTGAAGCGAACTTCACTGATCGCTCCCAAATAATTAAGGTAAGTAGAAACGGAGTGAGGAAAACCCTGAAGAAAACCACTTTCTGTAGTGAACTCGGGCGAGACAAAAGTACCGTAGACCGGAATTCGGCTTCTACTGTTAGTATAAAAGAGATCGCAAAATGGAAATAAATTTTTGAGAACAAGTTCACTCTTTCCTATTAAACCCAAGAGTTTCGTTACCTCCGAGAGGAATGCTAATCCAGAGGCCTTATACCTTTTGAGATACCTTCTTTACCCGGAAACCTTCATTTCAAATGAAGGACTGATATCACTTAGCAGTATCTGTCCAGTTCAGCTGAAGGTTGGCAGGTTTAATATCGATAGGACCAGTTGGACTGAGCCTCGGGACGTTCAGTCCATCAATCGAGATGGCGTCGCTGAATATGCATCGGGGTGGTATTAGAATCTAGGTCTGCCTCTCTCTCTCTCTCTCACACACACACACACCTTTCCGTAAGCCAGTACTACTAGCGCGACGAGGGTGCGAGGTTTCCCGTCTCGACATTTTGCAACCCACCGTTTCTCAAGGTCGTCCGTCAGGTTCCTGATGGGCTGACGTATGAGGGATTTGCGCGCTGTGTCATATTTGGCGTCGGGAGGGATGGTTCTGCGGGCACCCAGCAAGGCGGCCGAGGTCAATGATGTCCATCGCTTGTGTTGTGATAGCGCGTCAAAATTCACCTTGTTTTAGCTGACACCTGGATAGCATCCTTGATGAACATCCAATGTTCGTTGAGTCCTTCAGCAGTCGGTTAAACTGAGAGGCGATTAGAGCTCCAGTGACTCCAGTGGGCGACCGCGGTTACCCAAAACTCTGCGCCTAACCTCAGCATTACTCGTCCGGTTGCCTTGTCAGACTTTTACAATGCTGCGTACACAAAGATGTTCAAACACCGACAGTCTATCTTTATCATGTTTTCTTAATGACCAAGTTTCTGTGCCGTGTAGCAGAACTGGACAAACTGCCGCAGCATATACTCGAGCCTTCACGGACAGCTGGATTTCAGGACGGCGCCACAGATATCTCAAGTTGGCAAATGCCAATGCGAGCTGACATCCGTGATGCGTCCACCGGGTGAGATATAGCTACCCAAATAACGAAACTTATCCACTTGCTCTATTACTTCACCAGTTGGGAACAACATTTGACCTCTCCACTCAAAAGAAATGAGATGTCGGAGACAAACGTGTTGCAATCTAGCCCCGGCCGTTCGGGCTTTGGATGTGCGTGTGTGTGTGGTTAACTTTTTACCTGTGGGACCATCATTTGTCACACGATTGTCTGGGTGGAAGAGGTAATATACTTCAGGCAATTACTGACCATCTAGTTTTCCGAACGGAGGTTAACGGGTACCCAGTGTTGCAGCAGTACTTCGTTTTGTGAAAATGCCAAACGACCTATTTATTTTGTTACACACCCTTGTGTGACAAACAGCAGGTGAAATAATGCCCATGCTTATAGTGACCTGTTTCTTTTACTCACGGAAACCAGCAACCTAAAATCCGGGACTAAGAATGGCGAACCACTATCACCAGAGTAGGACTGCTGAAAAAAGATTCAACTTCTGCTTGCACAATTATTAACCGTGCACATTCGTGCGCCGGTTTTGGTTGCTCTCTTTTGGATAAAGCAGTAGGAGAAAGACCGAAAAGGTTGAAAGTAGAATCAAAAAGAAAATGAAGTAACAGGACTTATTGGACTGTCGAGTGTGCTTCATGCACGCTTCGTGGATTTGAGCAAACGAACATATTCGTCAGAGAATTTCAAAGTGCACCGCTATCCTACAGATGCTCATTAAATACCATTCAAGGGGTTCCCCACTATTTAGACCACGGTAACAGGAATGATGCAATAAGACACGCTTGATAAACACTGCTATGGTTAACGAACGAGGCACCTAGTTAGCGATAAATCCTCATTCGATTATCATTACCTAAGCATGGTGACCCTAGTGTTTTAAAATACTTCCGGGGCATTTATTTGCGAAAAAGGCTTGATGATCAACCGAGTCAGAAACTGCCTTTAGATCAAGGAAGACCATTATCGCAAATTGACCGTGTGTGACACAAATGGAGCACCTGGTGCGGCGAACTGTGACGGAAGCTAACACTTTGGTGATAACCAGAAGTAAACTTGTCCGGCAGTTAGTCCAAGCGAACCAATGCCTAACTGATAAACCAAATGAAAAATGAACCGAAATGTGAAAAAAGAAGTTTCACAATTGACATACATTTAGCAGGTAATCGAAATCCGGGAGTGATTCTCGCCTGGCCGGTTGGACAGCCTTTAAGAGCCAAACATGCCCGATGCAACTCGGGTCCGGCAGCACGGTGAATCGCTCCGTCCACACCACCTCCTCCGATGAGTTGGGTGTTAGCAGCATTCGCGATTGCATCCAGGGCCAACTTCGTTATGTCTCCAGACCACAAACTAATACGCGAACCCAAATCGGAAGCCGTTTCCATTGAACCAGTGAGCTTGGCTGATTGCAAATGAGTATCATATAACAATAAGTAAAAATTACGGCATTATCACCATAACATCACATCAACACTGATTTAAGACAAAGTGTAAGAACATTTAAATTATTGCGCAGTTAGTTATTTTTTCTAACCATACGACAACGTGCTTGTCATGTTTGTGTTCATAAGGATCGATACAGTCTTGATTTCTACCGTATGAGACATATCCGTGTGAATGTATGTACAGACTACCAATTCCAGTGGTCATCATTACAATTTGTAATTTGAAAGAAAAATAACAATTTCGANATCAACTTGACCACTCGTCCGTTGCACAGTCGTCAAAGTTACGATCACCAAAAACCTCTTGAGAAGCACGGCGAATAGTATAAATCATTGAATAACCATGTGGTGTGCATTGATGAAGACGATCGGATAGTTCGGGCAACAGTCACGGATTTTTCATTAGAAATTCAGCGAATTGCGATTACAAACGGGGTCAAACACAATGATAAATGACATTGCAAAGCACAAGATTTGTAGGGAAATTGAAGAAAGAGTCAAGTAGTGGATAATCCTGCTTTTGGGTGGTGGTGGTGGCGCAGTGAGTTAATCACTTCCAAAGGCATGTTTTGGGCCCAAATGGTTCGAGGATCCAGCCCCGCCAACTTT